TCACCCTTTCGAACTTTAACCGAGTCCTGCATATAAACTGAGAGGGATTCTCGGCGTCAAAAGTTAAACGAGCCACATTGCTAGGGTATCGTCTCCCCCACGGGGAGGAAAACATAAGTTCTACCTTTTGGATTGGGAGATCTTGGGGTTCCAGCTTTCAAGAATTCTGCCACAGCAAATTTTGTTAACTTGGATGGGGGCAAAGTGAAAGGTAATACAAAAATTGAGGGAATGATTTTTTTCAAGAGTGACAAACAGATCGATATGGGAAAAAACAAAGCCATACCGGGGGAGCATTTTGTACGTAATGATGCAGTACCCCTCTTTAAAGGGATGAAAAGAAAAAATCTTTACCAACATGGCTTTGGGGTGCCTTTCCAATCGTGGGGAGAAGATAGGCAGTAAGGGAAATCATCGTAAAGGGAAAAATTTTGTCCATTGTTCAGCTGAAACTGGCGTGGAAAAGGGAGTGAAAGGGCGTGTCGATCGTTTCTGGAAACGAGAAAGGGAGAAGTTCATCAGCAGTAATTGTCATTTGGCGTTTAGGGGTGGGACCAGAGTTGGGCCGACGTGGGAAAGGGCGGGGATTTGAAAATTCCACACCGAAAAGAGAGGGCCGGGAAACATGTCAGAGGAGAGAAAGGTCCGATAAAACGAAGAGTCATCGAGGCCTATACCTGAATGGGGGGAGGAAACAGCACCGCAAAGGGACAGAGCATGAGGAGTGTCTGAAATGGGCCCAAAACGAGGCGGGTCAGAAAAAGGGGGCGGGATCAAGAAGGGGCCCGGGGGAGAGGTTTATGGACTAGGGCTGCCATGGTTAGGTTTTCTTCTTTTTTTTGTTTTAAGAAAAAAAAAAAAAAAAGAAATAAAAAAAAAAAAAAAGAATAAAAAAAGGGGGGGGCCGGGGGGGGATAGTTCCTAGGGGGAATGAAAAAGGGGCCCGAAATCCCTCCGCGCCCAAGAGGGGCCTCACACCGCAAGTGCGCAATCAGCAGGAAACCCGGGCCCAAACCCCACCCATCAGCTAGTAAACTAACAATCCAGTAGCAACCTCACACTGCGAGCTACTTCGGGGACAAAAAGAGGCGGCCGGGAAACCGCCAAAAGCATACCCCTTTGGGCCCCCACCCCCCGGAACCGAAAGGGGGCTTCCAGAGATACACCCGCGCCCGAAAGACACCCAAACCCCCGGGATACCGGAGGGATCGGGACATCCCCCCCGGGGATCCAGATTCCACGGGAAAAAAACCCCCGCCAAGAACCTCAACGAAAGGGATAGACCCCGGGGACCTTTTTCCCCCACCAGGAACAGCCGCCCGTGGGGGAAAAACCCAAAGCCAAAAAGAGGAGGGCAAAAGGGGGGGGTGGGGGGGGGAGGGGAAGGAAAAGGGGAGGATTGGGGAGGGGGGGGGAGATTGGGGGTAATTGTTTAGTCGAGGGAAAAGACCGACAGGCCTTCTTCCTCAACCAAAGCCTCTTTAAAACCCCCCAAGGGCCCCCCCCTTGAAGAGGATACAAGGCATAAAGCACTCTTCGACATCCCTCGTGTCAGTCTCACACTGTGCAAAAAACGCAATGCACATAAAGGGCCCGAAGATCTGGAATTCCCTACCTGAACTGGTAAAGGATCCCTGGACTACTTATTAATTTAGGACTTTGCTTAAAAATCATCTCATCTCTCAATGCTAACCGAACCAACCAAAACAACTTCTAATGAGTTATTATATTATATGACCTCTAACCTATTAAACATCTCCCAATCCATGAAATATTACTGCTTGAACCATTAATTGTAACATTGTTTTTTTTATGTACAACTTCAATATTATTATTCTTATAAACCTCCACCTTGACTGCCTCACAATGAAATTGTTGTTAAGGTAAAATAAAATACGTATATAGTGTATAGCTCCAAAACTTTGGTCACAAATCAGTTAAACTGAGCTGCATTCTAAATCCATATTGCATTTTTTTCATATCATAGGCTATGAGCCATATCAAATTTCCTGGGAGGAGGGGATGGAGATAATGTATTCAGGTTTAATCCAAGAAAATGTAGGGACAAAAATGGCTTTGATTCTTCAGATCAAGAGCTTTGAGTCCTCAGAGCACTTCAGTGACAAGACATCCTTACCCACTGACAGAACTAATTAATGTATAAACTCAAGGACTGAAGCCTATTTCTTCAGTTATCGTACGTGTCAAAAGATGCCCCTATAAATTTGCAGGCTTCCATATTCATGAACTTCAATTATCTGTTTAAAAAAAAAAATCTTCTGAGATGGTAGAGAATCTTTTTCTGAAGGTAATGAGACAGACAGACAGACACACACACAAAATGGTAACTAACACACACATACACATACACACACACACACACACACACACACACACACACACACGTCATGGTACGTGAAGAGGTATCACAGTGGGCGCCTGTGACGAGCGGGGTCCCACAGGGGTCAGTTCTAGGACCAGTGCTATTTTTGATATATGCAAACGACATGATGGAAGGAATAGACTCTGAAGTGTCCCTATTTGCAGATGATGTGAAGCTGATGAGAAGAATTAAATCAGATGAGGATGAGGCAGGACTGCAAAGAGACCTGGACAGGCTGGACATGTGGTCCAGAAACTGGCTTCTCGAATTCAACCCTGCCAAATGCAAAGTCATGAAGACTGGGGAGGGGCAAAGAAGACCGCAGACAGAGTATAGGCTAGGTGGACAAAGACCACAGACCTCACTCAGGGAGAAAGACTTTGGGGTGACCATAACACCGAGCACGTCACCGGAGGCACACATCAACCAAATAACTGCTGAAGCATACGGGCGCCTGGCAAACCTGAGAATAGCGTTCCGATACCTTAATAAGGAATCGTTCAAGGACAACTGTACACTGTGTATGTTAGGCCCATACTAGAGTATGCAGCACCAGTCTGGAACCCACACCTGGTCAAGCACGTCAAGAAGTTAGAGAAAGTACAAAGGTTTGCAACAAGGCTAGTCCCAGAGCTCAGGGGAATGTTGTACGAGGAAAGGTTGAGGGAAATCGGACCGACGACACTGGAGGACAGAAGGGTCAGGGGAGACATGATAACGACATACAAGATACTGCGGGGAATAGACAAGGTGGACAGAGATAGGATGTTCCAGAGAGGGGACACAGGAACAATGGGTCACAACTGGAAGCTGAAGACTCAGTCGAGTCACAGGGACATTAGGAAGTATTTCTTCAGTCATAAGAGTCGTCAGGAAGTGGAATAGCCTAGCAAGTGAAGTAGTGGAGGCAGGAACTATACATAGTTTTAAGACGAGGTATGACAAAGCTCAGGAAGCAGAGAGGGAGAGGACCTAGTAGCGATCAGTGAAGAGGCGGGGCCAGGAGCTAAGTCTCGACCCCTGCAACCACAATTAGGCGAGTACAATTAGGCGAGTACACACACACACACAAAATCAATAGAAAACTTACGTAAACTTACAGGCGCAATTTATGCATCAGCGATTACATTCACCGAGTCCTATTTTAAGCTAATTTTATTGTTCCATTCAACCATATTCTTATCTATTTTGCTAGTATGCCTTCCATTCTATCACCTGAGTACACGAAACTGCCCATTCAACTATTTCGACCACCCTATATAAAGTGCACAGTAGCTGTTAATTTGGCCAATTTTACACACACACAAAAAAAAATGCCAATTTAAAAATAGAGTCCATATAAACAATGTAGACATTCCTGTCACTACAATAACATTTCCTCTGTTCATTAATCATGCCTCCAGGTCTCTCCTACATTACACTTGCTCATATTTATAAAACTTTCTTTAATGCATCTCATTACTAATGAACCACTTTAATTTTTATTATTCTGTTAGCCACTGCCTTGGTAAAACAGTATAGTACAATACAGCACTATATATTAATGTAAATTCCTCACTATCTCTATTTCAAGCACCACAATTACTTCTGTCTTAAGTTATCTGTACATTAACAAATATACTTAAATTGTATAGGCTCATTTTATATAAGCCTGTAATAATATGAACCACATTCTAGTATTAATTTCAACATCATGTACAATGGTACAACTGATAATTTTTTTATATTTCATTATGCTGTTTCAAATACAAACACAAGTCTGCTTACTGAAGTATCCTGATGCCTTAAAATTAAGGTAGAATTCCTAATGCCTTTATCTGCCATAACAAAGGAGGAAGAACTGCCACAAGGACACTTGAAAAATGTGCTTTACCAACAGAGCAGTAGATCAATGGAATGGTTTGCAAGATTAGGTATTATTTTATTCCAAAACAGCTGCCAAATACAAATACAGGTCATACAGCATCAAAGGAGGCAGTAAGTGCTACAATGACTGGAATCTTCAGAAAACTTTATGGATTAAATACTGCTCCAGTAGCTACAAATAGGTAATTACACTTGTTGAAATTCGCAAACATTAAAATATACTTATAACCAATCCTGTGTTTATTCAACAAAACTCCTAGATGATCTTTGAGATGTAAAAACAAGTTTCTTGCCTTATCTACTTTCCAAGACATATAAGACAGTTAATTAATTTTGGAGACTGGATTAGCATACCTGTAATCTCATTAAACTGGCAATGGAGAAAGACTGATAAAGTAGATCTGTACCTTCAATATTCTATTTCTGGCACTTTTTTTTTTTTCCTACTTCAGCTTTTGCTTCTCCTCTTCCTCCTCCTCCTCCTCCAGTGGTGGTGTTTTTAAAGATGGTAGCAGTTGAGCTGCTGCCTTCTGGCACTTTTCCTGTGGCTGTTGCTGCTGATTGTGATGCTACTGATACTGATCATGCTGTTGCTACTGCTGCTGCTGATCATGAAGCTGCTGCTGTTGCTGCTGATTTGATACTACTGTTGCTGCTGAGCTACTACTGTTGTTGCTGCTGCTGCTACTGATCCTGATGCTACTGCTGCTATTTATCCTGATACTATTACTGCTGCTGCTACTTCACCTACTTCTGCTGCTCCTGTTGCTACTGCCTCCCCTCCTGTTCCAATGACTGCTCTTGCCCCTGCTTCTCCACCTACTGCTGCTGATGCTACTTCTCTGCTGGCAGTGACTCCTGTTGCTTTTCTTCCTCCTACTGCTTTTTCTTGGGCAGCTATAAATCCTCCTGCTATTGCTGCTCTTCTTGATGCTGCTACTGCTGCTTCTCTGGTGACAGTAGGTTTTTCTACTGTTGCCCTTTTTTTTCTTCCTGTTACTGCTGATGCTACTGGTCTTCCTTCAGTGTTGGTGGTTGTAACTGCTACTACTGCTGCTTCTCCTCTGGTGGTAGTGGTGGTGGTTGTGGCTGCTACTATTGCTCCTTGTCCTTCAGTGGTGGGTGTGGTTGTGGCTGCTGCTGCTCCTTCAGTAGTGGGTGTGGTTGTGGCTGCTGCTGCTCCTTCAGCAGTGGGTGTGGTTGTGGCTGCTGCTCCTCCTCCAGTGGTGGTCATGGCTGCTACTATTGCTGCTCCTCCTTTAGTGGTGGTGGTGGTGGTGGCTGTTATTACTGCTTCTACCTCAGTGGTGGTGGTTGTGGCTGCTACTATTGCTCCTCCTTCGGTGGTGGAGGGGGTTGTGGCTGCTCTTATTGCCTCTCCTTCAGTGGTGGTGGTTGTGGCTGCTACTATTGCTCCACCCTCAGTGGTGGTAGTCATGGCTGCTATTACTGCTCTTTCTTCAGTGGTGGTGGTGGTCATAGTTGCTACTATTGCTTCTCCTCTCCCTCCTCCACTTTTGGTGGTTGTGGCTGCTTCTATAGCTACTCCTCCTTCAGTAGTGGCGGTGGTTGTGCCTGCTACTATTGTCCCTCCTATGATAGTGGTGGCTGCTGCCATTGCTTTATTGGTGGTTGTAGTAATGGTGGTTGTTGCTTCTCTGCAACTGTTATGCTGTAAGTTCACTTCTTGTGGTGGCAGCTGGTGCAACTGATGCTGATGCTGTCAACAAAGTTTTAAAAAGATGACAAATTTTCTTAGCTGTAAATTATTCAAAATGCCATTGAAAAGATTTTTTACAAATTAGAAATGCATATACATCTACCTAGATATTGTAATATCAAGAATTTTTTTACACACTGGCTGCCTCCTACTAAGGCAGGGTGACCTAAATTGAGAGGAAACACTTTCAGTCATTCATTCAATCACTGTCTTGCTAGAAGTGTGTTGACATCACAGTTTAGATGACCCTCCAAACTGCTACAGCTTCAACCCTCCATCAGAGTGCAGGCATTGTATCTCCCACTTCCAGCACTTGAGTATGACTAATTGGCCTTCCCTGATTCCCTTCATAAATGTTACCTTGCTCACACTCCAACAGTGCATCAAATCATAAACATTTGCCTATACTGTACTCACTCCTAATATATTCATATAATTTATTATTTGTTCATTTCTTTTTTATTTTTAATACTGGATTATTGTTATATTCATGAAAATGTGCCCAACCCATGTGGGTCACAGAAAGCTATATGGTGGAGAGGAGTCAATGGCAGTGGAGACAAATGTGAAGGATGTGCTCATGTGCTAAACAAGGAAAGTTTAAGTTGGCTTTTCAGGGGTAGGGCATGCACAGCAAGGTTACCAAGATGTTAAAAATGTTGGAAATAAATTCTATGCACATTCATAAATGTGACAATCAGTCAAAAGGTGTTTAACCACCAACAAAGTTTAATATTGGAATGAGTGACATGCACTGAATGTACACTATTTTTGTGTTCATGTTATCTATTATAAGTTATTCTTTGTTATTATTGCTTTTCCATTAGGTTGTCTTGATTTTCGATTCCCTTACATATACCTCTGTGTGAAGTACTGTATAGCTGCCTCACTGTTTGTATTATTAATTTATTCACAAAAAGTGCTTGCACTCTCAATGATGGGTAGGGATGTTGCATTTCAAAGGTTCACTGGTATTGTAATATTCGTTCACTTCTGACAAGATGGCTAGAAGTGATGGTGATCGAATTTCCCCTTTTTGAGCTACTCTACTTTGGTGAGAAATGGCCAGGTAGTGAACCCCAATGGTATGATGTTAAGCACATTTTTGTTTTATTTTGCCAAGTGTTATGCTATAATTTCACATACTTTTAAAGGGATTCCAGTTCATAATGCTAATATTTCTATTCAAGAGCCTACAATTATACCTGATCCATATGCTGGTGTTGGCTAACATACACAATAAAAAAAAAATAAAAAAAAAACTTAAAGTAAGAAAGCATTGTTTCAAGCCCCAAATAATCAAAGTCATTGGTGAACATCCAATTATATATAATTCACTACCATTATATTCTTATATTGCACTACTGTTAACATACATTTAACTTTGTATTAGACTTTGTTGCCAAAAACCCATCATTATTTCTCACTGTATTATTATTGCACCACTTACTACTTGTCATTATTGTCACTTTTCTGGTTATTGGTCTAATAATTAATGAATCTTAATCTCTAGTTATAGCATTCTCTTTTATTTTTTTTAATTTCATATCTACCATTGTTATCTTCCCATGCCTCTCTATTGTTACTCCCTCAATATCAAGATTTACATACATCTTCCTTTCAAGTATACAAATACTGATCCTGAACTTAACTTCTTAAATAACATATACTGCAACCAGCAGTTTACTGACCAAACTTATATGTAAATATACAGCCAACACTGCTAAAAAAGTCTTCCTAATAAAAACAACTGTTTTCATATCTTCAACTGTAACCCTAGGCCTTTAGCACACACAATGATAATTTTCTTGCATTGTTTGAAAGGTTGAGTACAAACAAAATTTTTTTTTTATTATTTTAAAGAGGGGACCTGGTTAAAAATCCTTTACAAAAGTATTCCACAAAACCTGGGTAAAACCCCCTATACAAACTGTAAAAATTAAACCAGGTGGAGGTCAGCTATTTATATGCTATTTGAATTTAATCTTTATAAAAAATTTTTAAAAAATTTACTGGTGTTTGGGTTTTATGGTGGGGTGTTGGAAAATGTTTGTTAATAAAAATTTATTGCCCAAACAATTAATACAAATGAGCTAATAAAATTTTAATTATCGGGCGTTTAAACCTCACACCCCATACTATGCTTAAAATGAAAAACCCGGGGAAAAACATGAAAAAACCAAGTTTAACAAAAATTGCCAAATAAATTTTGGGTTTTTAAGGTCAAAAAAAAACTTTGTCGACAGATAGCCCCAAGCATAAAATTTCCCTAAACAGTATTGGATTTACTGAAACTTTTGTTTCTTTTCTTTATATTTTAAAAACCCAAAAATAATAACCCTCAAAGTACGGTAAATGGACAAAAAACCCCTTGCAAAACCCTTAAAAATGTCTCTGGGGAAATTCACTTTTAAAGAGATACGAGGTGGTATAAAAACTTTCCGGACTAAAAGTTTTGCACATTCCTGGGGGAAAATACAGCGTGGTATAGTATGTGTCCCAGTACATTTCCTTTTTTTGGTTTTTTTGAAATGGGGCGAGTTTCAGTGTGGTCGTCATTTTATGTTTAAATTTTTTAAATTAAATTATTAAAATAAAAAAGAAGCGCCTAACCCCAAAAGGGCTATACGCGCTGCGGGGGGGGGAAAGGGAAAGAAAGGGGAATTGGAGGGAGAAGGGGGGGGTGTTTAAGCAGGTTAAAAAAAAAACAGGGGGGCGGGGGATAGTAGGGGGGGTAGAGGGTGCAAGAATCCCAATTTGAAAGGGTTTGAACGTATCAAAATTTGGGGGAGAAAGTCAGTCGTTGCCCAAAAAGTCAATAAAGAGAGCCCGGAAAAAAGGTGGGTCCATCGCGAAAAAGGGGAAAGGTAAAAGGGGAGCAGCGGGGGGGAAAGACGAGGGGGAAAAGGTAAATTCGCGTGCTCGTGATAAAGGGGGCAGTCCAACAGAATTTTGGTTTGCCTGATAATGGAGCTTGGCAATTTCACGAGGGGAGCAAAACCCCTCCCCATGAGATACCCAGGGTAAGACGAGTAGGGGCCAATGCGAAAAAGGGGGGAGAGAGTAGTCCCCCCTCGACACGGGGTGATAAGAAGACGGCCAGAAACCCATACTCGGTTTAATAGACTGAAGTTTGTTCCCGGGGAAGTAGCCCAAACGTTTTTCCCAAACGGGTGTAAGGGGGGAAAGATATTACAGAAAAATAGTCCGTACGGAAATACCTCTTAAAAAAACTGGTAGGTCATGTACGCTGACCGCGCAGCAGTGTCGGGCCGGGTCATTGCCCTGTACGCAAAAAACCAGGGACCCCAAAAAAAACAATATCTTTATGCTTAGTAAAGTTGGGGCGCACCCAAAGGTTGGATACGGGGGAAATAAGGGGGGGGTGTATAAAATTTTTGTATAGCCTGAAAAGCACAAAGGGAGTCTGAGACCCCCCCCAAAATGATGACAAAAGGCTTAGATGCAATAGGATAAGGGGTGTAAGGATGGCTATAAATTCAGCAGAAAAAAACACTAGGGGAAGATGGGGAAAAACGCCTTGTACGACGCTTTTCCGGGAAAAACACGTGCGAACCCTTCCCGCCGTCAAAAGATTAAAGCCATCTGTTTTACACAGAATGGCAGAGAATGAGAGGAAAGTGGTCAAGAAAAAGAGAGCGGGGAAGCAAACCGTAGACATTTGGGTTTTGGGAGAAGGGGGGGGAAAAAGGGAAAGGACTCGAACAGCGGGAAAATTTTCCCGGGGGGGTTTGGGAAAAAAGTGTGATGTACTTTGAAATAAAAAGGGTTTGGTAGTTAAAGAAAAAGAAAAGAGCGAAATGAAGGCAAAGGGAGAAAAGGGGGACGGAGTAACCAGGGGGCGGCGAACAAAAAAAGGGAATGTCTATTAATATCAGTGACCATTCTAAAAAGGGAAAGGGAAATTGCGGAGATCATGAGGGGTTTCATGTAGCGAAAGGCAAGGGGCCCACCCACGGCGATCGGATAAAGGAGGGAACGTTGGGTTTCCTTAGAGGCTTTGGGCAGGGGGAAAGAGCGAAAACCCCCAAGGCTTTAAAGGGTAACCCTTGGTGATGAATGGGGTTAAGGTAGAGAGGGGAATTTAGGGATCCCCGCTGAATAGATCTGGTCCCAAAAATAAAGTTTCAAAAAAATAAGGGGGGGAATGTAGGTAAAGGAGGGTTCAAAGATCGGGCCCCCCAAAAAGTGGAAAGGGGTTTTTAAAGAAGGTTTCACCCGGCTGTGACAAGTTGCCTTCGAGGGGTAATTTTGGAGGTTTCCAGGATAACTACGATAAAAGAGGGGGCCCCAAAAACTTGACTGTATCACTTTTCAGGGTCGGGGAGCCTTTAGGGGTTTAAAAAAGGATGATCAGAGATGACAGGGTCTAGTGAAAGTGATTTGGGGGTTTTTAAAGGCGGGAAAAATTTTAAAACCCATGTGGGGTGGCCAATTGGAAACACGGTCAAACTGCATGCTGGGAGAAAACGTAAGGAGGGGGACGTCAGCGCCTGCAAGGAAATAGCAAAGTCATAAAACAAGAGTGATGACCAATATTTAAAAAAAGGATTGGGGCCCCAAATTTTAATACCCGGGGAAAAAAAGTGTTTTTGCTCAGAAACAAAATCCCGGGGGGCCCCCCAACCCTTCAGCTTGGATAAAGCCCGGGGGAGAGACTTTTTAAAACCCGGAACAGGGAAAATCCCTCGTCATTTTAAAAAGTTTTTTAAAGGGAAAGGGAGGGGTTAGATTGCCTCAAAGGGCCCTAGGGGGTGGGCTTGGCTAAAATATTTACCTCCAAGTTGTGTCATATCCCTTCTCAAGATAAAAAAATTATGGAAATAACTGAGGGGTTTTTGCAAAGGTTTTTAAAAAACATACGTACCAAAAGCGCAGAAAAGGGGTCTATGGTAAAAAGTCCCTTACAAAACCCATATTGGATTGGAGAGACTGTTGGTGTCTCTAAATACCACAAAAAGGGCTATTTACTAGACGTT